GTTTTAAAGGATTTTAAGATTCAAATTTGTTTTAGACAAAAAGGAAACACACGTCATATTAATATATTAAAGCTTGAGTACATCAATGCCTTCTTGGGCAAAATAATATAAAAACTTTAAGATAAAAAGGTAGTACGCATCCTCTTTGGTGCAATGTAGGCATTCAAATTCTGTTCCTCATGAAGTAGCCTAGTGAGTTCCAAAACCTTCTTCTCGCTTGCGTAGAATTGGGCTTCAAAAGTATCTCTCTACCCCTTGAGTTGTATCCAATCTCTTTGTAGGTCTTCAAGAGAGGTGGGCATGTCGGGTGTAGGATAGTGTATGGAACATCTCCTTTCACGACAGGCTCAATGATTACCGGGAGAATGGAGGGGTAAGGCATCATAAGACTCTGAGCACGAGTTCGTACCCATTTGAGGTAAGGGTCAAGAGGGGTGGAATTTTTATGCCCCAAAGTCTTTCTATCTACCTTGTTTAACATCCTCCAAGCTCGGATATATCTCTGGCAAAGACCTTGATCATTGTTGTCGTAGTCAAATACCAAACCTTGAATCAGCATCTCGTACGGGCCATCCCTTTGGGCGTAACCAAACTATCTTAAGGCTAAGCAGGGGTTGTAGGTGATGCCTACCCTAATTCCAAGTAAAGGGACATTAGGAAATTCTCCACAACGGTCAACAATAATAACATTCTCTATGGATCAGGAGCACCAGTGAATGTCTGAATGTTTGAGCGTCATCAATCTTTGTGACCACCTTGAACCTTGCTCATTCTTTAATACAGATTGGGGAAGATGTGAAATAAATCATCTTTCCAAGAGAGGAGTGAAACACATAAGAACACTTCTTTTCCTCATTGTGTGAGTGTGAAAAGAGTGTAGGATATCCCCTAGCAATGTAGGCACTGGGTTGCGGGATATGAAGATTTTGACGGTGTTCACGTCTATGAGTTGGTTAAGATTTGGAAACAAAACCATCCCATAGATGAGGAGAGTCACAATTTCCTCAAAGGCTTGCAAATCCAAGGAATTCCAACAGTTATGGGCTTTCTTAAACAGGAACTTTACTAGGAAACCTTTAACACCACTCCTTGTTTCCCAATGAGTTGTGACATCAGACGAGTGCAAGTGTAGAGCTTGAGAAATCTCTTCTGGCTTTGGGGATCTTTCTGTACCGTTGAAAGGTAGTTGATTGAGAATGGTAATTCTCAAGAGTCGGGAGAATTCTTCCAAAGTAGGCACAAGTTGATAGTCGGTAAATATGAAGCAATGGTGTAAGGGGTCAAAGAACTAAAAGTGCACCTTCATCATGTCCTCATCTGTATTGGAGGTGACCAAGTTGAGTAGGCGACCGTGTCTCTGGGTGAATGGAGAGTGTGATCGGTGGGAATGAGAACTGACTGTTTTTGGAATGCTGGTTCGCGTTTGCGTTTGTTTTCTCAAAATATCGCGGTAAGCAAGAGTCGCCACCGTCTTTTATTTTATCCAACAAGGAAAGGACAAAAGCACAGAAAAATTCCTTTTCAAGATGTTTCTCGGGTTCGGGAGGTAGATTATAGAAAGGGAAGGTGTTAGCACCCTTTCTATCTGTGGTTATCCACGGGCTCTTAGGTACTTGCTCACTATGTTTTCAAAAGGTTTGCTTTTCTTTGTGATTGTGGGTTTTGAAAAAGTTTTTATTTGAAACTTCGATTTAACTCTTGCTTCTGTCCTCAAGAGTGTAATGAAGTGTTTTGAAAACTTTGTTCGAAAAGTGTAAGTGTGAAAAGTTTTGTTTTGTTTTTAAAATGAGCAAGTACTTAAGAACCTCTACCTACTCAAAAAGGAATTAAACTGTGTAAATGTCCTTTAGACAGTGCTATCCCACTATTGAGGAGTAGGTAGCACCGTTGTTGGAGTTTTCGGGTCAATTCGATTTTAGGGATGTGTGGTCACTAAAGCAACGTTAGGACGGCTTAGTGGTAACCCTAATGTCTTAGATCATTTTTATCCGAGGCAACCGTTTCGAGGCAACTTTGATCTTTGGACAGGAGGACGGCCTCTAAAACATCCTATACTTAATGACCACATTCGAGGCAACCAAGTGAGGCGTACCCTAGGAGTGGCATGTGCAAGTGTATTGTTTTTTCAGTTATATTATCTTTGCATGTCATGGTGAGCTACTGTTGATTTTAAGTTAAGATAGATCTTGTCATGCATAGCCTATTATTCATACATCTAGCAGTTAATGGTTGCAGAAAATAAATTGCGGAAGATAAAACTAAGCTATTACAAGGCGTCGGCACTACAAGAAAATTAGTGTTTAACGACACAAAAATTGCGACAGTTATGTGATAACTGTCGTAATTGACATATAGAGACAGTGTTTACGACAGTTGACACCAACCATCCCTAATATTTATTTTGCAACGGTATATTTAACCATCATAATATTATTATTACGACGGTAAAACAACCGTCGGCCCCCATTTAACACTTTTAACATTGATTTTTCACCAACAACTAGTCACGACGGTAAAATTAACCGTCATAAAAGGCATATCACGACGGTAAAGCACCCGTCGCACCCTTAAACCTTTCACGACGGTAAAATTATCCGTCCTAAAATTCATTTCACGACGGTAAAACAACCGTCGCACCCAAAACCTTTAAAAATTCTCATGGGCACGACGGTAAAACACCTGTCGCGGTAAAACAATTTTTTTTTGAGATTTATATAAATTTGATTTTATATCCATCATTAACACATTCAAATATAACATGAAATTAAAATTTAGATTTACAAATTATGAACCCTAAAATATATTATCCAATGTCTAGTACTAAAAAAGATCTTAGAACTAAAAGAAATTAAAAAATTGAAAATTTATGAGTTCATTATTTTTCACTTTTATTTCTTTTCGAGATTAAAAATATTCCACAAAAATGCATTTGCACAAAGTTGAATGAAAAAATAATTCTCATTATAATAGAAATGAATTAATTATAATGATTTATAGTGCAAACTCAAACCCGTTCTTCTTCACACCGAAAGAAACCCGGAATCTCTTCAAATCGCTCATCTTCACACCAAAAAACGCACAGCAATGGAAACTACATCCTCTGCGTTCATCTCTTCAAACACAGTAAGTTTTATGTATCACTTTTTGCATTGTTCTCATCTCTCTCATTCTCTGCCATTGATTTCAGCATTGGAGATTCACTTGAATCTTATGGTTGAGCTCTTTGTGATGATTGATTTTGAGTTTGAATATATTGAATTGATGTTAGGTTTTCTAATTTGTTATTTTAGGGTTTTATTTCTTTTTATGATTTTTTAGGTTTTCTAATTTGTTGTTTTAGGCATAAAACTGATATAAGAGGACCATATACTTATCCAAATGGGATAATAGTCGTTTTGCAATTGTAATAATAATATTGATATATCAGTCACTCCCCTTGTTAAGTTTCCTGGCTTTAGGACAGTATTTCGAAGGCACCAGGACCAGAATGAGGTTAAGAGGATTCCTAAAGAGGAGATGTTCCGATTCTCTCATCAGGCACCGTATTTTTATTACGACTTCCTGTTTTTAATAGAAAAACACTCGTGTTCTTCTGTGATTTACGTGGGGTCTCCGCTTGGCAACTTTCACTAAGTATGGGTTGGTGAATGGTAGAGATTACATTCCAGATATAAAGTTGGTAGGAAATGGTCAGATACATATATTTAGTTTGATCCTGAGTGGGAGGAGAGCTGCTCAAGAATTTCAATAGATTTAGTAGGTTATTTAGAATGACGGGGAACAGAGACCATGTCAATAGGAAGATGAGGTGGTAGGATTTTGTTGGCTAACGTTTTGAAAATATGTTAAATGTTTGGATGTGAAATTAGAACTCGAGAGAATGCTATTCATTCAAAAGAGATTACCATATGAACAGGATCATGTGGCCGGCTAATAACTGCCCAATCTAGCCTCGCATTTTCATCATTAGATGATATCAAGCATGGACATATGTTCATTATTACATCAACCATGAAGCAATCAAAATCAATTAATGTTAAGCTTTAACTCTTTTCTTCTAAGAAATAAGAAAATCACACACCTATATGTGGAATAAGGTATGCTACATGTTAAGTACAAAATTGAATATGAGTTTCAGTGGAATTTTTTTGAGGTTTTGGTAGAGTTTCTCTACTCAATTTTCTTCTCTATTCCGACCCAATGGTTGCTTAGTAATATAGGGCTTGAAATCAATGATGTAAAACATGTGAGATTATTCTCAAGTGTGTGAGGGTAATTAGGACTGCTTGGTCGATGATGAGCTGTAGAAAGGTGAAACAAACGTGACTACATATGTGAATCAAAATATATCAATGTTTAAAACTTGATTTTCCACTGTAATTCTTGTTTTCACTGTTGTAACATTTGGTTTACTGGTGCAATTAAATGTGGTCTTTATTGATAGTAACATTTTCATTGATGCCAAAGTTAGAGATGCAATATTTACTGATGTAGTTAGTCATTAATTTTTGCTGAAGCAATAGCTAGTAAAATGCAGTGAATTGTCTTCTTTTTTTATACTTTGGTTAACTTAATTGTAAATGGATATAGTGCATTCGACTGGTTTGGTTTATGGATTGTGAAGCGGTTTGAACTGATGCAATTAGCTTAACTTGAACTTGAAATGATTTTGTAAAATAGTGACTTGATTTTGATATCATTGCAGAAAATGTAAATTGAATTGGTAATTTGTTATAAGATCTTGAAATTAAATTGTTTGACTAGGTGAGAATAAGGGTTAATCATCTATTTTTGGTTTTTGGAATATGAATTAGTTTAGGGATAGAATGTAAAAGAGTTTATGAATGAATGAATGGATGATTTGATTTAATTACAAATGGTTCATAAATAATTAAGGTCACGTTTGTGGCCTATATAAACTTGCCTCAATTCCCACATTCTACTCACAAAATACTCTCTTCTCATCCTTATTATTAATTGTTTAATTCACTCCCAGAAAAATGTCTCTCATAAAAATATCAGTATTTTCTCTATTTAGTCTGTGCTTGATATCTGCACAGGCAGCGAGATTTGACATCGTTAACCAATGCTCATACACTGTCTGGCCAGCTGCCATCCCCAGCGGCGGCGGTAGGCAGTTAAACTCTGGTAACTCCATCCGTTTCAAATGAATTGTCATGTTAGAAGTCTTAGTTTCAGATTATGTAAGGCTTAGAAAGTCAAGAAAGCATTATTTTTGTCTTTTTTTTTTTTTAACTTTCTTTTGGGATTTGCACATTTTCAATCTCTGTTAATAATAATGCATGAACTATGTGAAATATTCGAATGGATTACCAATCATGCATGAACTACATAGCTCTAAACCAGCTGCCTTGGATGAAAGCAACTCACATTAAATAAAATTTATCTTCCCTCTATAGTTATCACCCACCAAGTCACTTTTACTGACATTTTAACACAAGAATAATATTTTATTTCGAAAGACATGCTAAGGAGCTTCTCTCAAAATACAATTTTCATTTGTCAAGTCGTTCATATTAGATTGATATTGTAGTAATATGTAAAAAGTGTAGCACCATAACGTGAAAATACCAATATCAAGAAAATCTCATAGGCAACAACTAACTACAATCGAGTCAAAAAGAAGCTTACCCTGATCTATACTTCAAATTACCTAGAAACAAATTACCTACAATATTCAAGGCAAAAATTACATGAAGCAAAAACAGTAGCCATCTCACTCGGTCACCTCAGTAGTAACTCCCGTAATAGGCCTGAGGAACTGCTGCAGGTTGCTGTGCCGGAGCTGCAGGTTGTGCATAATTTTGTTGAGGCAGTGCCTGTTGAAATTCAGACAAAAGTATTAACACTAGATCCAATTCCAAATACTCACGGGTTAAGCAGAATGTACATTATCAAGATTAAATCCCTCAATTAAAATTGAAAGTGATCGTTGCCCATATTTTTCTCGCAGACCTTCAGTGCGTGCCTGTTTCACATCTCTTTTTTTTCTTGCTTCTATGTTTCTCTCACAAGCTGCGTTATTTTCTTTAGATTTCATAAATTGGCGTTTGAGATTCTAGTTTTTGGCCACCGCTTCATATGAGGGGCACCAGCCTTTTCAATTTTGAATGACACAGGTCGTGGTTCAATTGAGATTCCTCAAAGATTAAGGTGGTACGAGATTGTTCAAATTTGAAGGACACAGGTCGTGGCTTAATTGAGATTCCTCAAAGGTGAAGGTGGTATGAGATTGTTCAAATTTGAATGGACTGGTCAGGACTCAAATGTAACATGGTGGGTGGTTTTAAAACATAGTCTTAATAATCACAACCAAGAATAAATAATTTTGCCCAAGAATGAATGAAGAAATCTTTATCGTGAATCTCTTAAGACGGTTTTTGTGATTTGGATACTTTTCTTTCTCTATTAATGATGGAAATGTAATTGATTGATTGATTGTTTGTTTGTTTGTTTATGCAGCTGAAATGGTGAGGAGACATGCTTTGTTTCCGGGGGATTCTGAATATCAGCAGCTTCTTAATATATTCAAGTAATAAATCGATGAAGGTTCATTGAGGTTCATTTTGATAAACCGACGAAGGTTTGTGATTTGTGTTGTTGTTATTGTAGGGTAATGCGGAGAAGTCCAGAATAATTATGGTCGGTGATACTTTGAAGAAAGCTGGTGATTCATCTCAGAATAGTCTTGTTAAAGACGTTGGAGATACACAGTATGGCTTCTGATTTTACTTTTTGAGTTGAATGTGGTTTTCAATAATTAATTAGGGAATTAACATAGGAAGTTAACTAATTATAGGGGTTAAGAACATATTTAGCAGTTAATTCTACTCAGGAAAGTGCTAAATGAGTAAACAAGTTCTTTTAGCTTGGTTCTTGAGAGGCCAGCATCTACATTTCCCATTCAACTACTGCATAGTAAGACAAACGATCTTGAAATAATAAATTGTATGTTGTGTTGTATAGTACCGTATATCAATAAGTCTTTCAATAAATCGTGGTTGGTGCTTCATGTTGCGTTTCTTGTTCTAATTTGTGTTACCCTCTTCTTTCTTCTTAGCTGGTACTTTCACTCTTACCCTTTCACTAATTTATCCCTTCTGTAATTGTATATTGTAATTGCTTTGATTATCATTCATGTTTTGTATGTAAAGTGTTCATGTGAAGTATTGATTGAACATGAACCAATTCATAATCCCTTTTGTTTTTGTTTTTGTATGCTGCTGATTGATTGTTGAGTAGCTCACTCTATAATCTGCTAGCCATAATGTAATGTAAGGATTTGGGTTTTATGTTGTCGTTCGATGCTGATCGGATGACTTGTATTTTAAAGCTTGTTTGGTGAAACTAGACATGAGTTTACTGATCTTCATCCAGTGGTCGAGATCTTGTCTCTTGACTGTTTGACTAGATATCTTCCTAGACTGGAGGAAATCTGGATTCGAAAGAAACTAGTCAGGAGTAGTTTTCTGTAGACATATTAGATTGGTGTGGAGCTGTATGTGAGTTCTATTCTACATTTGTTATGTTTTAAAAATTGAGCCTAACAAAACAGAACAACAACAACAATCGGAGAATTATTTTTCTCATTGTGTATGTGACAGCTTAATCATAATGTCCTACCATGAATCATCTTTAATTATGAATCATTTAGCTTTAGATCTATCTTTCAAATGGTTTAATTTTTGCTAGGTCTCCCTATCTTTAACTACTTGTCCACCATTTGATCTCACGAAAAATATCTCATCTAGGAATATGTTGATGTTGTGCAAACATTTTGCCTGTATAAGCTGCCAAATATTCTAGTTTGGAAGTAATGTAGTTGGAATGGGCGGGTTTTATACATGAAGTATTAGTGAAGTTTTATGTGTATGCGCGTGTTTGTTGCCTTGTGTATTGCTATGTCAAATGCTTTGTGATGGATCGATAATATCGTTAGTCATGAACTTAGGTTTTTTCTTTCACCCGGTGCATTAGACTAGGAAGGAACAAAAGTGCATATATGATTAGTTGATGTATCATAATTGCATAATGCTTGTTCTGTTTTGATGAAATGATTCAGACCTTTTCAGCGTCCTTCTGGTGGAAAATTTCCGAGAGTAAACCAAATGAAAAGGAAATGCATGTTTTATTGTTGTAGTATCAGATATCAAATTAAACTCATGAGATGCTTTGTGTTTCTTGTAACATCTAACTATGAGATCAGTTGTTGGTTAGGATTGTTCTGTTGATCTTCCAATGCTTTTATTTTTCTGCAGGTTTCTTGCAGAAACTGGTTTAGTCTCTGTTGAACATCAAATGCGAGAGATGGGCTTGGACGTTAAGGCTCCTGTAGAGACTGACAAAAAGGCCGAATAACTACGATCTTCTTGTGTTTCATGATCTCTGATAAATGACCGAATTAGAGTACATGGTTAACATAGAACAGTAGGCTCGATTTATATTTTCAAGTTGTAGCAAACCAATGTAAATATTGTAAATATTGTAACATTTTTTTTAATTCTCTCAAGTTGTAGCAAACCAATGTAAATATTAAAATGAAATTTGGCCTTTGATGATATTTGAATTTTTCTTGTTTATTGGTAAAATTTGCACTTCTTTTTACCTTTGATCACATTTTTTTGATATTATTGATGATTATTTGATATTAAATGTTTTTATTGTAATTAACTTTATTATGTTGAAAAGTGATAGAAAATAAAATAAAAATACTATAAATAAAAAAATATTAAAGTAAATAATAATTTAAATATAATAGTAAAATATTATAGTAAAAATAATATTATATTTAAAATTATTTTACTAAATAATAATTTAAATAAAAATATTATTTGAAATTTATAAATCAGATTACGACGGTTAAAACCGCCGCAATTTCTAACCTACGGCGGTAGAATAACCGTCGCAAACAACAACAAAAACAAAAAATAAAGTCAAATTCACGACGGTATATAACCGTCGCTATCTGTTGTGCGTGACAGTTTTTGCAACCGTCGCGAAATAGGCTGGGGACGCACGATTCTGCGACGGTACTTCTACCGTCGTAGATTGTAAATTGCGACGGTTTTAACCGTCGTAATCAGCCAAAATAACCGTCCCAATCTATCATTTTTCTTGTAGTGCGGGTATTTACATCGCCAAAAACAAACCCTTGAAAATTAAATGCGAAAAGTAAATAAAAGCGGTAAATAAAGTCCTAGGTTAAAACTATTACATCCTCAGAGCAATTACAATATATGGATCAAAATAATATGCGCGAGAAAAGTTGAATCAGATTGTCCTTTAGGGTTTTGACCCTTTTTTCATTAAACAAAGCATATTTTTGGTCTTTTTTGATTTAAGAATTAAGTCTAAATTAATAATGGAATTAAAAAGAAAATATTTTTTTGAGTTTTATTTTAATTAAGGCAGTAAAATCAGAAATAAAAAACCTAAGTCTAAGTTAATTTTAATTTATTGTAAAAAATGTTAAGATTAAACCTAATTAAAAAACTAAATTAATTGGTTACAATTTATTTACAAAAATAAGTAATAAAATTAAAATAAAAATATTTTTGTTGTTTCTGATTTTTTTATGAAAAAGAGTTAATTAGTTAATTAATTAATTATGATAATAAAATAAAAAACAGTGAAAAGAAAAATAAAGAAACAAACTCAGGGGTGCTGGGCTCGAAAAGGGAGTATGAATTGCAATTTCCAGGCCCAAACGTCCAGCCTGTGGGACTTTCAAATTTCCTGGGCGTTTGTTGATCAAGGTTCATGGTGAACCTCATCCTGGACCACTGTATCTGGATCCGGAACCACCTGGCACACGAGATCTGGAGGTATATGATGCTCCCTGTCTGAAGCGCTGCATCTGAGTACCTGAAGAAAAAACACAACAAAGTTTTGGGGGACCTGGGATTCGAATCCAGGTCCCAGGGGGTTCTACAACGCACGCTTCACTAACCAGCCAGCTTGTTCAATTTGTCATTGGAATAAGAAATAAATAATATATGGGAAAATCAATGAATACGCTGGAAAATAAAAAAAGCGCTAATATTTCAAACAGACCAATCTGGCCATGCCACGTTATCGTCTTCCTCACAAAGCCTGGTTCGTTTACCTGCAGATTTTGTTCTGCAGGAAGTTTCGTAGGGTCGTTCAAACGTCTCTCCTAGGCCATGAAAATAAAATCCCAGAGTACCAAAGTACTCGTATCTTCATCCTGGTCATCCCTGTAACCATGGTTTGCATTGATTTTCCCTGTGACATAAACGCCTAAAAACAAGAACAGGAACCCTAGGTTCTACATATGGGGTTAGAGGCCATGAAAATTAAATTGGGTAATGCCAAAACATTCTAAATCAAATAACAATCATAAATATGTCAATTTTTTAAAGAAAAGATGCAAGAATGGATGTTTTCGATTTCATGTTCAGAGCAAATTTCATGGAGACTTACAGCGCGTTAGAGGTAATGAAAGGCTCGGTTTTTGATTGGCCTCGCTCCAGGAGGTTGCTGGCAAGAGAGCTGCGTCTTTTTTGGTCTGAATCTGCCTCCAATGTGGTTCTTGATCCCACACTTTTTCAAGGTTTTTTGCAAGACTATTCTGGCTGTTTCCACAGAGTTTTTGTGCGTTTTCCTTTGTCTGCAGCAGGGTTTCGTGTGTTCTGTTGTGTCTTTCACGTGTGTCTTTTTTGTTTGTGAGCAGAGGTTTATATAGGCAAAGAAATTAGGTCAACATTTGTGTATCAAATCTTGGTCCATTATGATGAAGAGATTTGATTTGATTTCTTCATAAAGACTTGCTATATTTGATTTAATCACATGCCAATCTATTTTCAGGCGTTACTGCTAGCCTGTTATGAGCTGTTTGGGCCTCCAATATGATGGAAATCAAAAGCTGACTTGCCCCTTCGAATTTGCTTTCTTCGATTGCTTCAAAGTCCCAATTCGAACTACTCCAGTCACAACCCCTTCGATTGAGACTCCCTCTGCTTCGATTGCATATTTGCAAGGGGCACATGCCATTGTGAACTTTGGGTATTCTGGATAGGTTAGGATATATGTTTTTGCTTAGTCATGGTAGCCTACTTCATTCCTTCGAATCTGCCTTCTTTGCCAGCTTCAAAGTCCATTTCGAATATATTTAGAACGTTCCCTATTAGACAACTTCGACCAGCCCTTGGCCTTGTGATGAGTCTAAGTTCTGATTCGAAGTGTCCAGAACTTCCTTCATCAGAGCATCTTGGATTAAGAGAAACTCTGCACTGAAATGCCATTCGAAGGTCATTTCGTTCTGGTGTTCTGCTTGAGGTAAAGTATGAAGTTCCAGTCGAAGGACCCTCTGAAATACTATTCGAAGCATTGTGACATTGACTTGATCGAAGGAGGTCCAGCGCTCAATCGAAGACTTGCAGACCAAAGCTTGATCGAAGGAGGTCCAGCGCTCAATCGAAGACTTGCACACCAAAGCTTGATCGAAGGAGGTCCAGCGCTCAATCGAAGCTTACTAATCAGAGCCTGATCGAAGAGTGCCAAATGCCCAATCGAAGACTGGTGAGTTAAGCATGTATCGAAGGATTTCAAACACCTAATCGAAGCTTACTAATCAAAGCATGGTCGAAGAGTTCCAAATGCCCAATCGAAGTGTTTGTCCATAATGCCAATCGAAAGACATTTTGTTCATCTTCAAAAAAACTTTATTTTTCTTAGGAAAGGGTTTGTGACCAACCATGTAAGGGAAGACTTTGGAAACATGAGAGGGAAAATTTTGGGGTACAACTGAGAGTTTTCAGGAATCCTTGAAGCTAGCTCCTTAAGTTTTAGAGGGATCCTCACAAGGTTGACTTGAATAGTTTTCCTGTGAAGTGAATCCATATCCTACAAAACAAGACAAAGATGAACCCAAAAAATCCTTGAAATGGTTAGTGAATGTGTATGATGTCATGATGTTCATGATGTTATGTACAAGTATGTATATACAAACAAAACAAACAAATCCTTAGGTTTAGGCTTGCATGGAGTTTTATAGGTAAGTACCCTCTTAAAGTTTAGTTTGTTTAAACTTGTCCTAGTAATAGTAATCGGGTTCTAAGGAGCTCAATATCACAGGTTTGTTTCCTTGGTTATTGTTTCAGCACAAGCCTCTTTAATGGAGACCAAAATATCCCAAGGAACCAAACCTCAATGAGTGTAGTATCGAGTATCTACCAACTTCGGACTGCACCAAAGCCGGTCATCTCACTACATCCCAAAGGCCAAGTTGGTCAAGTAAAGGTTCTAGAAGTTCATTAGTGCTTTATAACATCACTCAGCAGCCCCGTATTCTCCTTGATTAACTTAAAGGCTACCGATACCCATAAATATGTCGCACTAACATAGCTATTGCTTAGACCATGTCGGTATACCCCGCATAGTTTCCACAATGTATTGCTACTTACCTATAAGGTATCCCAAATCCAGATAGAGGATTCAAACCCAAACAAAGAACCATAATGTAAAGCACATAAGTCAAACAAAGAAAGCAAGTAAATATGATCTAACCCTAAGGTAACCCCACTTTTAGAATTCTCCACAGCAGAGTCGCCAGTTCTGTGATACGGTGGTAGAACTGACTTATAGGTTTTGCGTTTGATCGCAAATGTTGCGGTTGCAAGAGTCGCCAGCGACTTTTATTTTATCCAAAAGGAAAGGTGAAAAAGCACAGAAAGACCTTTGATATTATTTCTTGAGTTCGGGGGGTAGATTATGAAAAGGGAAGGTATTAACACCCTTTTCATCCATGGTTTTCCATGGGCTCTTAGTTACCTGCTAGATCACTTGATTTTGTTTTAAAAAGTGCTTTGTGTGGTTTTTAAAAGTATTTTGTAAAGATGTCATTGTTTAGGAAATCTTTGTAATGATTCTTGTTTGTAAGAATGTATGCAAAGATGTCAATCTTTTGAAAAATGTCTTCAATATTTGTAAGATGTTTGGTGTTTGTTTTGAAATGGAGCAAGTAATTAGGAGCATTCTACCTACTCAAAAGTCTTTCTTGTTCATTTTCTTTTCCTTTGACATTGTTATCTTACAATTGATTTGGTAAGCAACCTTATCTTTGGGTGTAAACGGGACGGTCGTGGGTCATCGTATAACCATGATTAGCAATATTGCAAGGTATCTTAACATTATGTTTTAGGGACTAAGATCATTTGAAAGGCAACTTAGATAGCGTCATCGAGGGACAATGATCTTGTATTTGCTTGTTTTTGCTAAGACATCTCACATGCATAATATGTCTATTTTGTATAAAGCAAACAAGTGGACTAACCCTATGGGTGCTTGTGTGCAAAATGCATTGTTTTCATGCTTGATTTAGTCTTGAATTAGGGTTT